TTGAATCAGCAACTGAACTACTAATATAAATGTTGCATTTCAACTACACTTCTGAAAATTGATCCGATAATACTAATCACAGTTCGCACACTGATTTAGGCTGTGAATGGTGAAGAAACAAGTAGATGTTTTTTCTTGGCTGCTCAGTCAGAATTATGTTACACTGTAGCTACAAAAGGATGCAACAGAGGCATTGCATTGGTGTTGACTAGTTACTGATGACAGACAATGGTCATATACCCAGCTGCTGTAAATCAGCATAGTTCCACTGATTTCATTGAGGCGATGCTGATTTTCACCTCTAAAAATATGGCCCTATATGCATTCTCCACTGAGCAGAATAGATGCTATAAAAGTGCACTATGCCCATTAAAATTTTAAAGTGTGTTTAATCTGCCTTGCTTTCATTTATCCAGCATTTCTGATGAGAACATTCAGAAAGTATATCAACTGTACAAAGAAGTCTAAAGTCTATAAATGTGCTATTCAACAAAGTGCTTATCTTTCATGCTTAAATGCCTAAATTTCTCACTAGACAGTTTGGAAAATTACTTACATAATTGCTTTTTTGTGTAATACATAGTTAAGGAAAAATGTATTCACAATATTAAGTTATCCTAGGTGAAAGATGAACTGGTGAATGGATAATTTCTGAAGGAGTTACCTAAACTAAATTAACATATAATTCAAAAGCAAATCACATGGTACCAAAGCAATCAGTTTCCACTATGGGCCCAAATCTCTTCCTGGCGTGCATCAGGCCTGAGTAAATAAGCTTTTGTGGCTATCTGGGATGTGGAAGTGAGTTGGAATCTGAAATCACAGGCCCCTGTGTGATTGCTCCACACCCTCTAGTTCCTGCCAGTAAGGGGTGGAGGGTGTCTAATGGATCTCTGTAGTCACAGATTCTGTGGCCATTTCCCAAGGTGTTAGGGAGGCTGAAGTTCACAGGTTTGTACTGTGTGGGATCATCACATCTTTCACTTCCCTACCACTCTGAGTAGAGGAATCATACCAGTTTCAATGCATTCAACGCCTTCTGCTGCCCTTATTTCCTTGTTTGAGCTACAGGATTTGGATTTATGTACAAGCTTTTAATCACCAGTAATTAAAATTGCAATCTCTTGGAAAAACTAACTTCTTTAAAGAGTTTAACACAAGTGATAACTGAATTTTTAAAACAGCATATTAGTGCCACTCAGATTGTCTGAATTCACATTCATTTAATTAAACAGAACAATATATAAATGTTAAAATCACAGCAGACATTGATAGATAAAAAAACTGAAATATTTAAAATAACAAACAGGAAGTCATGAAACAATACTTTGATAGCATGCTAAATCCCAAGCTGATTATTCAATAAAACCACTATTTACAGTAACTTGCAAAGAGTCCTGACAAGTATGGAAAGATATGTTCCCTTTTCTAATGTTCAATTTTCATGTAAAAAGTGTTTTCCTGTATGACAGAAGATAAGGAAAAGTAGAATTTCTCCTGAGGTTCTTTAGAAAGAAAAAAACCTTTCTAAATATATTCCTAGGTCCCAAACTATCAGTAAGAAATTATTCCATATCCGGTCATAAATTACATATCAGCGACTAAGTTGAGATAAATACTTTGAAGCTATTCCTTTTTATCATTATTATTAGATTACATTCTAGTTATAAACTGAGATGTACTTTAAGAGCCAACTAACATCAAATTTGCCTATGTCTAGAGAAGAGTTGGGAAGATATCTTAGCTTCCGTTCAGTACTACCCATAGTTTCTGACAATATGAGCCAGATCACTTCAACAGTGAGTCTGTGTCGGTCTATAGATTTAACCTGGATCAATTTTTAAAAGCTAAAGCTGCGTTAAGTGTAAAGTTATTTTAAAATCTGTAACACTTTAGGAGCTAGTTAACTGACGTCTTGTCCAGGGAAAGCAGTAATGTCTCTTTTGGTTTTAATCAATTTATTGGATTCCCTCATTTATTCACAGATCAGCTGTGGATAGCTGCTGTGCCACCTTCTCTACTCTTGCCTACGAAGGTGTCTCCTCTGTGAGTTGGAGAGACTGCCTTTAGGATTAAAAGGGTAGTTTAGTCTTTATTTCCTTACACTGCATGGCTGGTTCTGAACTAATACCTTATCTGTAACATATAATATCCCATTAATTAATATCCTCAGTAATTAATTCAAATGAGCATGGCAATATTAAAAAAATCTAGGACAAATTCTGATAATGCATTTGTCTTCCAAAATATGGAAAATATCACTGGGCATCCTCTAATAATGTAAACAGCATTAAGTGGAATATGGCATGAAATGAGGGCAAAAAAATATTTTCTAGGGGGAGAGGGAAATATTCATTTTGGCATTTTATTCTAAGTCTGTGGACAGAAACAGCCTGAATTTTTCTTTCTTGATGGGTCATTTCTCTTATGTTCAGCAGGATCACCCATTGAATATTGTGTGTTCAATACTGGATTCTGATTTTGGCATGTTCCAAATAAACAAACACAAACAACAAACCTATACTTATATTTCTCCAAACCTTGTTTATACCTCTTCCCCAAAGAGGCTAACCTCATAGTATGTGAAACATTTTATACTGAACATTAGCTGGAGGATTCTATTGAAAGACAAGTTAAGTCCTGTAGAGCTCTTAATATACCCAGGACTATTTTCTAAATTCATAAACCTCTGTACTTATTTTTGGTGACATTCAAAATAAGAACCCAAATAATGACCAATGTATCTGAAAAAGAGTGACAATTAAAACTACTGAGTGTTGTGTCTGATTTGACATAGGAAGTATCACAAGGAAGGCTTCAGCAGTCAGGCCCACAGGACATGGATGATTGCTCTTTGTGACCCAACATCTGGGAAGATGATGATTTTCCACAAGAAGAATATAAAACTAAGCATGTGTTACTTTTTTGTATGATAATGGAAGGATGCCAACAGTACTTTTACATATGATTAATATTTTACATAATTTCATGATTAGTGATGGGGAAAACCTGTAAGTCTAAGTTTTGGTTAAGCACCAGAACATTAGAATACTTATTTGAAATTTATCCTAACACTTTGGTCTGGAAATCTTGTGAGATCAGGATTTTTCAGTAATTCCTAATTTCATCCAAGATGGAAGTACCATGATAAAAAAGTGCTTTGTTCACAGTGTTTCAGTAATTCCACATTCAGTCACCGCTGAAATCAGTGACCACTAAGATGTGAACATTTAAACAAACAAACAAAAAAGCAATACATTTACACCATAGTTTTTCAAATCTCAGAAAAGATCTAAGTTTGCTCCAGCTCCTAATTCCTCTGAACTTATCATCCAATTATGAGCCTGATTCTGCTCTCATACAAGGTTTCCACTGGTGTAACTTCCTTGACTTCAGTGAAGTTACTCCAGTTTTTTGCTGCTGTCAGAGCAAAAAATCAGGTCCTATGACATCTAACTGACTTTAAGAAAATGTTCCAATAAGTGGATAATTGTTATCAAGTGTACTATAGGATATTTCTGTGTTAAGGATTTATAATGTGTTGGTGAACTAATTTCTGTTAATAGCCCCCAGTAATAGAGGTGCAAAGTCCTTCTCAAAATTCTGACTGATTTCAGAAGATAATCACTGGTGACAGTATTGCCTCCATGTACCATTTGCCACACTACTGAACAAACCTGTATCTCTTTTTATTTTGCTGAAAAGGGTCACATCTAAGTTATTCTTGAAGTACATGCATGCATGAATTTTTTTTGATAAAACCATCTTTCCCAATGTTTATATGTGGGGTCAAATCATTCTCATCTTATTCATGCAAATAGCCATATTTACTTCAATGGGACTAAGTACGTGAAGAAAATGGTTTGGCCTTAGGTTAATCGATTATAAAGTCAGAGACCGTCATCATCTAGTTTGATCTTGTGTATAACACCGGCCATAGGACTTCCCTGAAATAATTCTGTTTGAACTAGAGCACATTTTTTTTTAAATCCAATCTTGATTTTAAGATGTCCAGTGATGGAAAATCCACCACAAACCCTGGCAAATTGTTCCAATGGTTAATTATGCTCACCGTTACAAATGTGCACATTATTTTCAGTATGAATTTGTCTAGCTCAACTTCCAGCTACTAGATCTTGTTATACCTTTGTCTTTTAAATTGAAGAGCCCACCACCAAAGTTTTGTTCCCCATGTAGATACTTGATTAGTCTGTAAAGTCACCCCTTAACCTTCTCTTGGTTAAGCTAAACCAATTGAGTTCCTGGAGTCTGTCACTAGAAGGCATATTTTCCTATCTTTTAATCATTCCTGTGGCTCTTCTCTGAATCCTCACTGATTTATCAACATCAGTCTTGAATTGTGGACATGAGAACTGGACACAGTATTGTATTAGCAGTCTCACCAGAGCCAAATACAAAGATAATATAATCTCTCTAGTTCTACTTGATATTCCCCTGTTCATACTTGCAAGGAATGCAAGTCTTTTTCAGTTACTGCTTCCCAGGATATAAGTTGGAAGACTAAGTATACTCTGTATTCTTTGTTCCTAGATGTATACATTTACAAGTGGCCATATTAAAATCCCTATTTTTTGAGTTTTGCCATTGACTTCAATGGAGCCAGGATTTCCCCCTTGATGTTTACATTCTTTTGTGCTTGCACCTAAAGACCTACCATACACCAGAACATGACCATCTTTTAATCAAGAACATAAAATATACCATCATAAGGCTTACATAAACATTTTCATGAAGCAAAACCTTCATGAACATAAGTGGTCACATATTCACATGGTAATAGTAGGAGACATGAGTGGTATCAGGATTTTACTTTTGTGAATCCATTGGCCCCAATGAAGTTTTGATATAGAGTTCAATGGGACCAAGACTAGGTGCTTAATGATGAAAGAACACCACCTCAATAGCTATTAACTTTGAATGTTTAAAATCGTTCAGCAAAACACTTCTAGGGTGAGATGATTAAATTATGCAAAGTATACCTGTTATCACTCAGATTTAACACTCTCAGCTTCTGCATCTGACCAATCTCATCAGGAAGAAATTCTAGCTTGTTAGAGCGCAGGGACATAACTGTTACGTTCTTACAGCTTCCAATCTATGGACATAAAAGACAAGAAGTTAGGATTCTCACTTTGCCAAAGTTTCTCACCACTAATTCTCCTTATCTGAAAAGGTGGCCTAATTATGTCTTTAAAATTAATGAATGAGGTAACGACTACTTATTGTGTACTTCTGAGATAATACTTTGAGCCAAACTGACTTCAGTGGGAGTAGAATCAGGTCCTTTACTTGATAAATGGCTTTTCAAGTTATAATTTAACCTATCTGCTATCAATAGCTTCCTGCTATATTAAGATGTATGTATACACATCACATTTCTTCACATAGTTTGATTAAAATGCTTTCTATTATCATAATGTGTTCATTAATGAAATACTCATTTCCAATTCTAGTTTTCCTATTTACATTGATATTGATATTAATGGTCAAGGGCATAAGCCCTCGGTTTACAATGTAAAATGACAAACAAAATGTGAGAGAGACAAGGTGGGTGAGATAACATCTTTTATTGGACCAACTTCTGTTGTTGAGAGACAAAGTTTTGGGTTAACTCACCCACCTTGTCTCTCTAATATCCTGGAACCAACCCAGCTACAACAACACTGCATACAAGCATTAGTAACAGGGTCAAATTCTGCTTGCCTTGCTCATGTGAGTGATATCACCTGTTCCATGGGAACAAGTGATTAAGGCAAGTAGGACTTGGTCTTCCATCTGGATCATTTATGACCCCATCCTGCAGAGTGAGAAAAAACTTCCATACACCTGCCATAACTTCAGTGGATGTTTTGTCTGAGTAAAGATTGCAAGGTTAGGCCCTTCATGTAAAACATACTAATGAATAATTTTAAAACAGAATCAGTTTCTCACTTCTCTAGGCAATTCAGACAGGAAATTCTCATCCACAGCTAATGTTCGCAGGCTATGAAGGTAACCAATGGTAGAAGGTAGGGACTCCAGTTCATTACAGCTGCAGTCAAATTCTTCTAATAGAGATAAACTGAAATTTTAAACACGTTGTTAGACTTTTTGAAAAAGTAAGAACACAAATTAACAGTTTCAAATCTCTGCAAGTTTATAGTGTCAGATTACTACATTTGCAAATCATATATTGAAAAAGTAACATTTATTATTCAGATTCTCACAGAACAAAAGATTGAAGATATAAATAATTATATACACCTAAGGGTATGCCTACACTACCCGCCGGATTGGCGGGCAGCGATCGATCCAGTGGGGATCGATTTATCGCATCTAGTTTAGATATGATAAATCGACCGCCAAACTCTCTCCCGTTGACTCCTGTACTCCAGCGCAGCAGGAGGCGCAAGCAGAGTCGACTGGGTAGTGGCAACAGTCGACTCACCATGGTGAAGACACCACGGTAAGTCAATCTAAGTACGTCGACTTCAGCTATGTTATACACATAGCTGAAGTTGCGTAACTTAGATCAATCCCCCCCCCCCCAGTGTAGACCAGAGCTAAGTATAGTTGAGTATTGGTAATACTACTAATATTGAGGTAATCCTATCTATTTATCTAAGGTAAAGCCGGCAAGGTATTTTTAAGAGATACCATTCTGTCCCATGCATTACTATTGTTGTTTATTATTTGTAGTGTAGAAATGCCTAGACTAGAGGCATCTGTCAAGGATCACGGACCCACTGTTTTAGGCACTGGACATATGCACAAAAAAAGATGATAGGTGGGAAAAAAAACTGTTTGGTGAGAAGAAAGTATCTTTATACACTACTGAAAAAAGTATATTTTTCAGCTGATGTCACTGACACAAACTCTGATACAAAAAGCTGGTTAGTGGAGAGAGCCAAACATTGATCCAAATTCAACAAAGCCTGCTATAATTAGCCATTAAAGCAGAAGATGTATTCTTTGTAAGTATGCTTATCTTTCAAATTCTGACAGATTATCTTCTGAGATTGTTTCAAAACACAATATGGGATAGACAATTGTATAGCAAAAATTAATACAAAAGCAAACAGAAATAAGTCATTTTTAAGAGTATTTGGCTATTACTTAAAGTACTTCAAGGTTTTCATGCCAAGTCTTTAATATAAAACTGCCTGATAAGTGGAACTCTGTAATGTGCGGAATACCTGATGTACTAAATACTAACATGCTCCCTTTATGAAAAAATAAATTATCTCAATATCTGCCCTGGATCATTGTTGTGCTGCACTTCTAAAAGCTCATAGCAATGTAAAAGGCTGTAGTGGAGATGAGAATCCCCACATGCATGCTTCAGAGGTACCTCGCCCATGTCAATCTAGCTATGATTGTAGAGTAAGAAATTTAAGGTTTAAAATATAAATAAGAGAAAAGTGAGGCCTAAGAATGTGACCTTCACTCGGGTGAACAGTGCTCACACTCATGGGTACAATTGCAATACTGAAGTCGATGACAGTTATAACTAAGCAATGGTTGCAGATCTGGACCTTTCAATATTTCTTTAAAATTATTTTTATCCATCTAAATTATTTAAAAAACTCTTCCAGCCTTCGAACTCTGAGAAATGTAATGCCTGCAGCAGCTAAGCTACACCCAGGGCCCAACTGGTTCTCAGCACTTTCCTGTAACTACCTGACCTCAATAGGTTGAAGGTCTGAAGCACATCACCCTTCCATGAGTCATATGGTGATTAATGAAGTGAATTGTGAGGAGAACAGCTGAAAGCTTTGCCAGATATTTTATTACAAGTTTTGTATCTGTCAACCTGTCTTTCAAACCAGACAAAGAGCAATATTTTGCAAAGATAATACTCAAACATGTTGGCCTAGTTCATTCAAAGTCTTTCCTGGCAGGAATAGGCATAGACCTGACAGAGGACCCTTGTAATGGAAAGTATAGTGGAAAGGATGCCATCTTGGAAGCTGCCCACAACCAGCTAGGGTTTGCCAGGTGATGTGCTGATTTAGCACAACTCCCCTGTCCTACTTAGACCTAGAATTGGGAACATTACAAACACTATCCTGCAAACAGTAAATTTCAAGAGCCACACAAGGGATGTCACTGAAACCTTAATAGGCAATGTAATTTTAGTTAAAAGGTACCATCTGACATATACATTCTCAACCTCTTTCCCTCTTGGTAACAATCAGGACAGAAATGAAGTTTGTGATAACAGAGGGAACACAGTCAAAGTGAGACTGGACTTAATCTAGCTATCCAACAGCTATACAACTGCTGTGTAACTTCGAAGTCTAATTTTCATTGTTCAGAGTTTGTGGAGGGAAGGTAACCTGGCCACAGCAGCTTATCATATGAATTTAGTTAGGGTTCTAATAACCTCATCAGTCACTGAGGCTCCACTCATTCTCCCTGGGTGTGCAGAGTATGAAGCAATGGACCTTTATGGGTCTTCTGTGTCCCCTGGAAACCATGGGGCTATGCCCAACACATGCTCTACCTGTACTAGAGAGAAGAGTAACCCATAGCTTAAGAAGTCCTCGCTCTCATTATGTCATTTTCACCACATATTTGATCAATCATCCTAAAGTTGGGGAAGGATGGAATGGATAACAAAACATCAACTGATAAGATACTAGATGCTTGGTGGAAGAAGCCTGTAACTTAAAGAAGCCCTCTCTCACCATGATTTAGTTATTACTTCTCTGCATTGTTTCCCCCTCTTTCACTTGCTGCAGTTTTTCCTACTTTACTTTGACAGTGTAGATCCACCAGAAGGATAGCTACAGATGAGATAAATGAAGGGAAATTAATGCTTTTCAGTATTTCTGAGAGATGCATTTTTCCTCAAGTATTTTCTTGACTTCACCTATCATTTTTTAAAAAATGTATATTGTTTAAAGTAGTGGTTCTCAAAGCCGGTCCGCTGCTTGTTCAGGGAAAGCCCCTGGTGGGCCGGGCCGGTTTGTTTACCTACTGTGTATGCAGGTTCGGCCGATCGCGGCTCCCACTGGCCACGGTTCGCTGCTCCAGGCTAATGGGGGCTGCGGGAAGGGCGGCCAGCACATCCCTCAGCGAACCGCAGCCAGTGGGAGCCGCGATTGGACAAGCCTGCGGACGTGGCAGGTAAACAAACCGGCCCAGCCCGCCAAGGGCTTTCCCTGAACAAGCAGCAGACCAGCTTTGAGAACTACTGGTTTAAAGCAACAAAGAATATTAGGAAAGTGGTGATGATCTGGTACTGAATATCACCAGGATATTTTAAAACGTTACCTCACATTGACGTGTAATTTGCATTAAGGAAGGTAGGTATCAGGCCTGAACCTACATTTTTTGCACACCAAAAACGCTCCCTGAAATTAGTGGGACTTTTGGGTGTGCCAGAAGTGCAGTTTGGGTCTCATCATATAATAAAACAACTTTGTTGATAAGCAGTTACCAATTTGTTTGATTTTGTGATAAGAACAACAGTGAACAATGTAGCTGTTTCACATATATATGTTTGCTGTAGTAATTGCCAGGATTTATATGACATGCATTCTGGAAGCCACTCAAACAATATTCATTACATGAGTTACATCAGAATACTTTCTTACAATAGTTTGCATTCTACATGTGCTACAAAATACAAAGTTTTCCTTTGCTCTAGTATTTCCACCATACTGTATATGTGTACTAAGACCTGCTAAAAACAGTGTTTCCTGAAACTGGAAAGGATCTACCCAATTGCTTCTTTAGCACAGTAACACTTAGTTCCATGCTAGAAAGTCCGAACCCCAGGTCACTACTGCAGATATATTTTGCCATCCTGGGTGGGAACCAGATTCAGTAAACAAGGTAAGGCAGCTCTGACTGACAGAGCCAACCAGGAAGAAGTAGTGAAACAAGATTGGAGACGCAACCTAGCCTCATCTCCCTGTCTCCCTCTAACTCTCCATAAAGGACCAGCCACTCTGTGACACCATCCTTCCCATCTGACAAGTTAATTAATTTTCTGCTCTCATTATGTCATTTTCAGCCAGCGTGTGTGCAAATATCTCCGGGTCATGAATGACACACATCTCTAGAGATGAGCGTTTTTATCTCTATGGGCTCAATCCAGCAAAGCACTTAAGCAATGGGAAACCATTGGGACTATTCAGAGTTCTTAAACACATGTTTAAATGCTTTGTTGGATTGAGGCCACACTGTTCAGCATCTCACAGGGTTGAACCCTAAATATCTCTTTGAATCTAGGCTGATAGTGACTACCCACCATCACCACCACCTTTTTGGCCCTAACTGCTTTGTTGGCAGTTCTATTAAGGCAAGTATCAAACAGTTGACAGACTGCTCTCTATGTCATTATAACATCTGGCTCCAGAGAGAGTCAGTTCTCTCTTCCTCATTGTTGATTTTTATATTACAATAACATGTTCCAGTGAGTACCATGGCTACCACTTTTTGAGAAAGACCCAGCAGGAAACTGTCTAAAGTAATGAATGAGTCAGAGAAGGGAAGCACAATTTGAAGTTATAGGTACAGTGCTCATTCTATGGAAGAAAATTACTTCACCTCTAGTGCTGCCAGGCCCCTAAATTTAACAAGCACAATCGTTCAAAAATGATGTAGCAGTATTAGCTGTCTATCCTAGTGTTCTGCAAATCCACCTCTTAGAGCTGCAGTATCTCTCTTTTGAGAGCTAATTAAGGCTTCTTGAGAAACAATATTTAACAGAAAGTTGGCATAAGACCAGAGGGTTCCTTTCAATTCTTAACAATTCAATCACTGAGATAATATCTTAATGACAGGATTCTTTTTTTAAACATGCACACTGCAAAAAGCCACCAAAGTGCCAACTAGTGCATGAACCATCTGGATAGTGTCCAATATAATTTCTATCATCTTCAGATCTACCTGGCTTTCAATATTTACTGCTATATAGACTTTGTCTCATAGGATTCATGAAACCTTCTATTGCTACACACCAATGCACACCACATAAATCCAATGACCCTTCATCAGGTAAGCTATGTCAAGCCAAAATTCAGCTTTCATTGCTTACTGCTGTAATGTTGCAGAATTTAGAATTTTTTTGAATGTCATACCAACAGTTAATTAAGTTATTATTGAAAGATCCTGCAAAAAACAAATACAAGCTGGAGTGGGTACTTGTTAAAGCTCTAGTTATACAGAGTAGAGACTAAAGCAGTGCTACAGGCCTTAATATATTTGGTATTGAGTCAGAATACACTCAAATCTATGTATTTTTGGAGAAGTATAATGAGCTATTCAAGAGAGCTTTACAATGAAGTCTTCAGGACAGAGCAGACCTAAGAACACTGTCTGGAGTAAAAGCAGGGTTTGCTGAAGAGGGCTTTACTAGAGTGAGGAGTGTGGGAATGCTCTGTCCACCCATACTAAGCTGCAGAGTGAGTTTCCTGTGGCTCACAAGTGGGATCTACTTGCAACATTTTGCTATTTGTTCAGAGGTTCTCTAACTTCATTCTGGTGTGCAATAGTTCTGTATCTAATGAATCAGAAAAAAATAATCTATGTTCTATCAACAACAACATATTTGGATTTAGAGCTTTTAAATAAATGCCAAGTCCAAGCTCTGGGCACTTTTATATACATTAAAATGCTATAATATAAAAATATTCAAATATGACATTTCATGTGATGGATAGTCAATCCCTATACTTACCATAAATACCTATCTAAAAAGAAAGATAAAAATAAAATAAAATCTCTAACAAAGCAAGCATCTGAATGAACGCCATAATTTAGGTATCTATTTGTTTGCACTACTGCTTATTAAACTCAGGTTAAACATCTGGAAAATGCTTTAAAAACAGATAATTTCAAAAGGAATATGATTTAGCAAAATACTGACTGTTTTATGTTAATTTTTTAAAATTGTATAGGTAGAGCACATTGTCAATCTCTCTTACACAAGACAAACTATTCATATCTTGAAAAACTGTATTGCTTGAACAAACTTGTTCTTTAAAAATCCTACTGCATGCAGATGCGATATTAAATTCTAGTAGACAATATAGCATATGGCAAGGCAAGGCAGGTTGCTCCTAATGTTAGAGATGCTGAATTATATAAAATTTCTTCTACTTACTTTCCAATTGCATTGGGCAGTACTGTAAGCTGATTGTCATCTACTTTTAGCGTTGTAAGCCTTTTCAACAATCCTACAAAACAGAGAAAGGTATTTTAAATGACAGATATGTGGGTAGAGAGAATTTAGTCTGTTCTAAGTACATATAGTACTAAGTCGGTATTGCAGCATACACATTATTCCTTCAATCCTGAATGCACATGCTTAACTTCAAGTATAAATGGAGTTATTTATGTGCTTCAAGTTAAGCACACGCACAAATATATGCAGACTAGGGTCTACATTCACAGATGGGGAATGTGAAACTCCTATATTCCAATGGCAACAATAGCAGGAGTTAAGAGAAAAGAGTAATGGACTGACAAAAAAACAACAAAACAAGAAGTTTTTTGGTTAAATTGGTTCCCTGAGCGCCTGTGCGGCGCTAAGAAGGCTGCTGCGCAGCTGTGCAGCTTATAGGGAACTTAGGTTGTGACCTAATTAAACCCATCCATGGCCTCCTATCTTTCTTTCAGGGTGGACGGCCAATGCAGGAGCATTTCCTGTAGCATATTCATGTAGCATGCTGGTACAGATGTGAGAGATCCAGCCCCCCCTTATTTAGCTTTCCTTCAAATCCTTCAAAGGGCTACTTTACTTCAAAACCTTGTCCAATCTATTTTATTTGATAACCATATTCCTTCCATACCAAGTACCTGCATTAGACATCTGCCACAGCAAGTCACCAGAAAAATGCTTGGCTGCCTCCCTGCCACCCTAGCTGGATTTCCAGATATCCACAGATTCCTTCCATATTTGCATCCTGTGTCTGCTCCCAGGCTGCCAAAGAGCATACAAGGTGCATCAGCTGGTCCCATCCTGGTACGGAGCGCCTCTCTGTGGCGGCTTGTAAATATCCCAACACTCATCCGGTCAGCAGAAAGGACAATACAGTGACATTGTTCTGCCCTTCCTGTCCATCCCTGTATACTTTCCCTCTTTTCCCAATCTTTTCCCAATCTGCTGTCAGGGAGCCCTTAAAGAGGCAATACTCCTTTTTTTTCAGTTAACTGGAAGACCAACTTGCATAATGGTTGCTATGGGCACAGTGGTAGGGTGATTAACAAATTGTTTTAACTTATCTTTTACAAATCAAATTTCTACACGCTAAATTCTGTTTTAACTATTACCAGCGTAGAACTGGAGAAACGTTATGACTTCCATGCCTACTTTGGATTTAGCAAACAGATCAGGATTTGTCCCTAACATTTTATTTTAATTTCAGTGTCAAAGGTTTTTAAATTATACAATTGTAATCTTATATTCAAAGCAAATAACTCAGAGCTAACAAAAGTGTCTCAGATGATTAACTGTGGATTTAGGCACCAAATCAGAAAGCATTTGCCTATTTGAAAGCATAGTCCCAATGAAGTCAAATTAGGTATGTGCTTAAGTACTTTGTTGAATCAGGGCAAGACATGAAAAGAAATTATGAAAATCTAATACAGTCAAAATGACTTTGTTCTATATTTTACCCCGATATAATGCGGTTGTGGGGAGCCAAAAATCTCTACCGCGTTATAGATGAAACGCTGTTATATCGGGGTAGCGGTGGCAGGGCTCCAGTGGTGATTTAAAGAGCCCGGGCTCCGGCTGCAGGGAGCCCCAGGCCCTTTAAATCGCCAGCCGAGCCCTGCTGCCGCAGCCCCGGGGTAGCGGCGGCAGGGCTCCGGCAGTGATTTAAGGGGCCCGGGGCTCCCTGCAGCAGCCAGAGCCCCGGACCCTTTAACGCGCTGCCAGAGCCCCGCTGCTACTGCGCTATATGCAAACCCGTGTTATATCGGGTCGCATTATAGTGGGGTAGAGGTGTACATTTCATTTTTAATGAAGATAAAATATTTCCATATATTTAACTGAAAATGGCCTTGATTCAGCTAAACTCTTAAGCATGGGCTGAAAGTTAAGCATATGCTTAAGTGCTTTGCTGAATGGGGCCCAATATTTGCATTTGGCACTTAAAATTAAATTGTATTTGACATGTTTAAACTTTGTAATACCAAATAAAGATGCTGACCGTGCATAGAAAATGAACATACAGTACTTAGATGAAAAGGACTCAGCTTGAATGTCATCTATCTACATACCATGTCTAGTAATATGGCCTTTACTATTATCAGATTATTTTAAGTATATGGCATATTCTGATAAAAATAATACAAATCTTTTAAATTGAACAGTTTAGAACTTTTTTTAAATGGTGTAAAGTAAAGTAAGATTGCAAAGTAACAAAAAGTAAATCTTTACAGGAATATGCATATTTGTTTTGTAAGTATCTTAATTGCAGAAGTAATAATAATTCCATTAGAAATTATATGTAAACCAAATAGTCAAAAACAGAAAATAAAATATTTTGACCCCATGTCTTCTCCCACTTATATTGGTGCATCCCCATTGGTGTCAATTTTGCTTGCACCATTGTAACAGAGCAGGATTTGTCCCTTAGATTTTAAAGCAATTAGTATATATAAATGGACTGTCATACACACTATCAAATTGACATTGGATTGACTTGACCAATAACACCTTTCTTTACTGTAAAGTAGAGATGATCCAGAACTAGAACACCCAGATCTCAGTTCCTCCAAACATGGGGGAAAGTTTGTATCTAGATGCAGATCCTGATACTATCTTTGCAATTTGATCCAGAGCACCAAATATAAACAACTCTTGAACTTGGGGGTAGTTTATATTCAGGACTGGATTCTAGCTTGGTAACTCAGGCCCTTGTCTGCTACAGAGATATAAATAACACCAACAGATTTAAAAGCTTATCAATCAGCATTTACTCTTCTCACCTAGAGAGTCTGGCAGTTGTTGTAACATATTGGATGACAATAGGAGATCTTCAAGTGCTTCACATCCTGATACATCCAAGTCAACAGTTTCTATCCTGTTTTTTGACATATCCAGGTACACCAACTGCTTTAACTTCCCTATAGACTTAACGACATGGTATAAACAGGGTTAGCTGAGCATATATGCATTCCATAGGAATCTCTAATGCTTAACAGAAACATACAGTAGTAGCCCAGGCTTATCTTTTGCTATCTGAATGTTTATTTTTACCCAGATTGCTGTTGCTTCGATAAAATTAATCTGATTTGAGAGCTTTCCTGTTCAGATAACCACAAAATGAAGGACTGACATCTGAGAAAGTTGAAAACAATTGATGTTATTTCTAAAAATTATGTGATTATATAAAGCCTAATAAAATGGTGGTCATCAGCATTAAAAATCCTCTAAAATTTGCTATAATTCCAGGCAATTGGAAGATCAACTATTGCTTGTTTTTGGTTGTTTAGATGTACCAGCCCAGTCAACTCTGCAAAAAAAATTGTTTTTTCAAAATTAAAAAAAAATCACTAAAGGGTCATTGGTTCTTTAACTAGGAACCAATCCTAGGAACTCTTACTCTGACAATCAGTCTATACTTATGTGAGGGTATGTCTACACTTAAAACGCTGCAGCTGCACCACTATAGGGCTTCAGCGTATACACTTAGTACAGCAATAGCAGCAGTTCTGCCATCACTGTAGTTAACCCACCTTCCCAAGAGGTGGAAGCTAGGTCAACGGACGAATTCTTCCATCGACCTAGCACTGTCTACACTGGGGGTTAGATAGACATAGTTAAATCTCCCAGAGGTGTGGATTTTTGACACTTCAGACAGACATAGCTATGCCAATATAAGTTTTCAGTGTAGAACAGCCCCAGTTGTCTTTGCCCTCAGTGTAACACTAGGTATGTGAATAAGTCTTTCTAGGGGTGAAGCCGATATGGTCTAAATTTTATACAATTATGGATGCTGACTTAAAATCTGGCTGGATCTTAAAAGGCAATAATTCACTGCCCAAATCAAGTTGGTTACCCTAAGGAATTCTGTAGCCTTCTGGGATCTCTCTCAAAATCTGTTTAACATTAAAGTGTTAGTAGCCTAAACTGAAGTTAGGTAGTTAATACTTTCTAAAAAGCTGTAGCCCTAGTAAAAATGGCAACTATAATTTTAAAGATGTATCCATAACAAATCACATCTGACAAATCAAATGTAACATTTAGAAAGGAAATGATTTTTGGTCTGCTAGAATAGCATTGGCACATTATTAATGAAATAAAAGTTCACCTGGAAAAATTAACATAAGCAGTGCTTGTGATTTTTCTGAAGTTTCTATGTATTAAACTTGCATGTAGAATAAACATATTGAAAAAATAGGCAGAGGTGGACCTACAGTAGTGACAAGATAATTGCCAGTTATTGTGAGATAATGCAGCACAGTAACATTAACATGAGCTACATGCAATTATTTTTTCTTTCGAGTGCTGTTATAATCTACAGCAGTGGTTTTCAAAAAATTTTCTGGCGACCCAGTTGAAGAAATTGTTGATGCCCTTTATGCGACCCAACGGAGCTGGGGATGAGGGGTTTGGGGTATGGGAGGGGGTTAGGGCTCTGGGCTGGGGGTGCAGGCTCTAGTGTGGGGCTGGGGATGAGGGATTTGGGATGCAGGAGGGGGCTCCGAGTTTGCGGGGGGGAGAAAGGGCCCAGGGCTGGGGATGAGGGGTTTGGGATGTGGGAGGGGGTTAGGGCTCTGGGCTGGGAGTACAGGCTCTGAGGCGGGGACAGGGGTATAGGAAAGGACTCTGGGTTTGGAGGGGGCTCAGGGCTTGGGTAAGGGATTGATGTGCGGGCTTACCTGGGGCGCCTCCTAGTCAGTGGTGCAGTGGGGGTGCTAAGGCAGGCTTGCTGCCTCTCCTGGCACTGCAGACCGCACTGCGTCCCAGAAGCAGCCAGCAGCAGGTCCGGATCCTAGGTGGAGCCTGCCTTAGCTGGGCAGCACCGCCGACGGGACTTTTAATGGCCCAGTCGGCGGTGCTGACAGAGCCGCCGCGACCCAGTGCCTTACATTCCACAATTTGAAAACCACTGATCTACAGTAATTACTTTGTTCTTACTGCAAAATTAAATGAGGGATATCAATACTCATGTTTAAATACTTAAACAAAAACAGCCCCTGCCTTGATTCCCTCATGACATCCGTGAAGGACATGGGAGCTGCCTATAATATTTTAGGAATGATATATGTTCCACCTGTTTATTTTGTTTCTGTGTTCTTTGCTTTATGATTACAAGTAGTTAATTCAAGCACAGATTACTTCCAGGTATGCAGGAAAGGGGATAATAGCTTCAGATTTATTAGTATTTAAAAGAGAACTTATATTTGGTCGTTATTAAAATACAGATATGAAACATGGATATGCAAACAATTGAAAAAAAGAAATTACAATCCTTCAAATTATGGTATTAGAGAAGAATTCTGAAAATATCATGGATAGATAATTAACTAACAAAAAAGTATTGGAGATAATCGGAACTCAGCAAATGCTTACCAGATGAATGAAAACTGTATGAAAAGAAAGATTTGAGTTCAGGGCACCTTTTAATAGATTCAGTGCAAGGCATGTTTATAGGCACTGGAAGAGACAATTGATATACAAAGAACAAGGCAGAAAAAACAGTTACCTACCATTTTTAACTGTTGTTCTTCGAGATGTGTTGCTCATGTCCATTCCATTCTAGGTGTGCGCATGCCCACATATGCAGTCATCAGAGATTTTAGCCTTAGCGGTATCTGTAGGGCCAGCTGTGGCGCCCCCTTGAGTGCCGCGCTCATGCGGCGGTATATCAGGCGCTGCCAGCCCTATGCCTTCTCAGTTCCTTCTTGCCAGCAACTCTGACAGAGGGTCAGGACGGCAGGTAATGGAATGAACATGAGGAACACATCTCAAAGAATAACAGTTACGAAAGGTAGGTAACCATTTTTATTTTGAATGCTTGCTCATGTTGATTCCATTCTAGTTGACACACAAGCAGTATCAATGGAGATGGGCTCAGAGTTCACGGTCTTGCAGCTTGCAGCACTGCTCTGCCAAAGCCAGCATCATCTCAAGCTTGCTGGATAAGTGTATATAGAGACTCAAATGTGTGGACAGATGATCAGGTAGTGGCCCTACAGATCTCTTGGATTGGCACCTGTGCCAGGAAGGCCACTGACAACGCTTGTGCCTTAATCAAGTGTGCCGTCATGATGGCCGGCGGAGGCATCTTCACCGGCTCATAGCAGTAGTGGATGCAGGCCATGATCCAGGATGAAATCCTCTGAGCAGACACTGGGAGACCTTTCATTCTGTCTGCCACCGCAATGAACATCTGCGTTGACTTAAGGAATGACTCTGTTCTATCTATATAGAAGGCCAGTGCCATCCTGATGTCCAGGATATGTAGCCTGTGCGCCTCATCTGATGCATGAGCCTTTGGAAAGAAGATGGGTAAGTATGTCCTAGCCAGTATGAAACTGGGAAATGACCTTGGGTAGAAACACTTGATGTGGTCGCAGCTGGACCTTATCCTTGTATAAGACATATAGGGCGGCTCCGAAGTAAGTGCCCTGATCTCGGACACCCTGTGGGCTGACATTATCACGACCAGGAACAAAACCTTCCAGGAGAGAAGCAGGAGAGAGCAGGCAGCCCCACGAGCCTCGACAGCACGAGATTCAGTTCCCAGGGAGGGATGGGATCCCAAGCTTGCAGGTAGAGATGCTCCTAGCCTTTCAAAAACAATGCCGTCATGTCATAAGTGAAGATCGACCTGCCTTGGATTGGAGGATGGAAAGCCAAGACAGCGGCCAGGTGAACCTTGATCGATGTCAGGGACAAACCATGGAGTCTGAGGTGCGGCAGATAATCCAGGATCTCCTGTAGTGGGGCCTGCTCGGCCTGAATACACTGTTCCGAGGCTCAGCACATTAACCTTTTCCATTTGGCCAGGTAAGTAGCTCTGGTGGAGTGTTTTCTGCTACCCAGCAAGACTTGCTGAAAGTGGGCCAAGAATGCCCATTCGTCCATGCTTAGCCATGCAGTAGCCAAGCCATCAAGTGCAGTGACACCAGGTTCGGGTGCAAAAGGCTGGAGCAACTACTCGTGGTGAGATGAGAAAGTCCTGCTGAGGTGATCTTCTAAGATATTTCTGGTTTCAGGCAGGTGTGCAGGTATCAGATGAATGGCATGCCACACATAAAAAAACGAAAGGAAGAGAGTTTCTTGACAAAGGGCTTAAGACTTGGCACTGCCTTGCCTGTTGATGTAATACATCGCGGTGGTATTGTCTGTCAGGATCTATACCACCTTGCCCTTCAGAAGGGGCAAGAAAGCCTGGCAGGCCAGGCGAACCATTCTGAGCTCCCGGACGTTGATGTGGAGGGCCAGATTGTCCCACAATCAGCGTCCCTGGGTGCTTACCTCGCCCAGGTGCACTCCCCAGCCCAGGTCCGAAGCATCAGAGACCAGGGTCAGCGACAGGGACTCGGTCGCGAAGGGGACTCCCTCCAACACTGACCTGGGGTCCAACCACCAATCCAGGAATGACTTGATGTGGTCCAGCACCCTGATTACCTGGTCTAGGTTGTGCCTGTTGAAGATGTAGACCAACACCAGCCACGCTTGCAGGGGCCGGACATGGAGCTGAGCATGGCTGACCATGTATGTACATATGGCCTTGTGGCCCAACCACCACACGCAGGTGTGAGCCATGGTGAGCGGGTGGTTCTTTACATAGGAGATCAGGTCCAACATGGCCTAAAAACACATTTCTGGAAGGAAGGCTCTCGGTCGTGTGGAGTCAAGAACTGCCCCAAGGAATTCTATTAGCTGGACCAGCATTAAAGGTGGATTTTTTCTCGTTTATTAACAGTCCCATGTCGCAGCAGGTGCAACACACCAAATCGAGGCTTCTCTGCACTTGCCCTTTGATGAGCCAGATGTCTCAGGTAAGCAGCCATTGGCACCATACATTTTGTGAACACCCTCGGGGCTGATGAGAGGCCAAAGGGCAGCACTGTGAATTGAAAATGGCATCCACCCACTATGAACCGGAGGAAACATTC